CTACCAGGCCACTTAAAGGCCATGTCCAGAACTAGTCCAACATGCCTTCTGCTACATTCTGTTGGTCAAAGCAGTTACCATCATCCCTAAGCTCATATCAAGGGGATAGTGAAATAGACCTTGCCTCTTCTGGGTAGAGTAGAGGCAAAGTCACATTGCAAAAAAGCTTGGGAGATGGAAAATTTTTTCATGATTATCTTTGTAAAGTACAATCTACTATCTACACTTTAACCCACCAATTCATCTTTTAGAAATTATCCTGTAAGTGGACTTACAAATGTGAGCAAAGATATATGAACAAGGGTATTTGTTACAAAATTAGTAATAGCAAAAGACTGGATTAACCTAAATGTCCAATAATAGAGTTATTTAACCCAATTTATTTTTGCCCATGCAATGGATAGCATATGCCTGTCTTTAAAAAACCTATGCACTGACTTTGAATAAACTCTAAGATATACTTTGAAATGAAAAAAACAAAGGTGCAGGCCAGGCACGGTGGCTCATGCCTGTAATCCCAGCACTCTGAGAGGCCAAGATGGGTGGATCGCCTGAGGTCAGGGGTTTAAGACCACCTTGGGCAACATAAAACCCCATCACTACTAAAGATATAAAAATTAGCCAGGCGTGGTGGCGTATCCCTGTAATTCCAGCTACTTAGGAGGCTGAGACATGAGAATTGCTTGAACCCAGGAGGCAGAAGTTTCAGTGAGCTGAGATTGCACCATTGCACTCCAGCCTGGGTGACAGAGTGAGATTCTGTCTCAAAAAATAATTTTTTTTTTATAACAACAGGCAGGGAGAAAACCAGTCCCCTTATCTTCCCAGACACCTATGCTTGGAGCCAACCCTGTAAGGAAATGTCACAGTGCTTAAAGAGACTGACTCATACCTGTTTCTTGATGAGGACATTGGCAAGAGTTCAATGGAAGTTTCTCTGAACAGATTTTTCTTCAAAGGAGCATGTTCTGATGTTCACCATCAACATCATTATTGCAGTCACCTATTCATTTGACATGACTTCTTTGCTTCATCGACTGGCTCTTTTACCAGACTTACCCAAAAAGCACAAAAATGCAAAGTATGTGAAACATAGACACAACCAAAGGCCTGCCCTGGGAGAGTGCAGTCTTTTGGGGAAGGAAGCCCTGTTTCCAGCAGACTCCAAGATAAGGCAGAATGGTGAGAAATGCAGCACCTCAATAAATGCTGCTGCCCTGCTCCTTGAAGCAGGTCCTCCATCCAGCAGCATGTGAAAACCCCTGGGAGCTCCACGCCAGAACTACTGAATTGGACTCTGCATTTCAACAAAATCCCCAGGGGATCCAACGTACAGTAAAGTCTAACAAATGCTGATGTAATGAAACTTCAAAGAGCTTTGAGAGAACTGTGGAGAGGAAGACGAAGTTTGACTGAAGGAATCAGAGAATGTTTTACAGAAAAGTTATTATTTGAGCTGAACATCATGAGATGTGTGCTATGGTTTGGATATGGTTTATCTGACCTCACCGAGTTTCATGTTGAAATTTGATTCTCAATGTTGCAGGTGCAGCCTGGTGGGAAGTGTTTGTGTCATGAGTCTGGATCTCTCAGAAATGATTTGATTTCACCCTCATGGTAATGAATGAGTTCTTACTGCTTTATAGTACCCACAGGAGTTTCTTCTAGACTGGTTGTTAAAAAGAGCCTGATACCTTCTTTCTCTTTCTTACTTCCTCTCTTGCCATATGATTTTCATGCACTGACCTTCTGCTCTAAGTGATAGCTTCTCGAGGTTGTCATCAGAAGCAGATGTTGCTGCCATGCATCTTGTGCAGCCTGCAGAATGGCAAGCCAAATAAACCCCTTTTCTTTGTAAATTACAAAAAAAAAAAAAAAAAAAATTTTTAGTAGAGACTAGGTCTCACTATGTTACCCAGTCTGGTCTCAAATTCCTGGTCTCAAGTGATCTTCCCACCTTAGCTTCCCAAAGTGCTGCAATTACAGGTGTGAGCCACCACACCCAGTTCCATCTCTATTTAAAAAAAAAAAAAAAAGGTGCCTACAGAAAGAAATGTTTCTATAAGTCCTTTATAATAAATAAATCCTGGAACTCATATATGAAACTAAGCTCTCATCTGTGTTGGGACTGTTGGGGACACACAGAGGTGTGGAAATCCTGATTGGAGTCTTGCTGCTGCTGCTGTCTCATCTTACCCACTCACTTCCTAGTTCTGCTCTATCTGAAGTCCAAATCCTGCTCTCCTAGGAAGGCTGCACTGACATCCACAATGCACAGTTCTTTACACTGGTCATGATCACATGACAACATGGCCTTTGAAACCAGACATTAGGGGGTTAAGTTTTGCCTCTACTGTTTATTAGCTACCTGACCTTGACAAAATAATGTCTCTAAGTCTCAGCTTTCTCACTTGTAAGATGGGGTTATACTGATACCTACTTCTCAGGAGTAAGAAGGTTAACAAGATATGTAGAGCACTTAGCACAGTGTGTGGCACTAACGAAGTGGTATTTAGTATTCCACCCACTGTCACATCACATTAACCATATCCAACAAAGAGAGTGGGCATCAAAGCAAAGAACCACCGGGACTTGGGAGGTGGGCTTTGCTTTGGTGTCATCAGTTCCGATTTCAAGTGCCAAAGCATGTGGAATGGAGGCCAACATCTCCCCACCTATCAGCTCCTTGATATAGGGCCTGGTCAGGAACAGCAAGGTCTGTGGTTCTAATCCCGGCTAAGCCTAGCCATCTAAGGGGCTCTTCAAAAGAACTCTCCCAGGCCTGAGGAAGTTTGAGATACTGAAGGGGGCAGGCATCTGTCTCTTCATGTATTGGAAAAATATAAATATATGCGTATTTCCATTCTCTGCATGTACACTCACCCCCCAACCACCATCACTAAGGAAGACTCCAGCTTTGTGGCAGTTTCTTCCCTCTTCTTCTCTCCAAGATTCTCTGTGCTTTTGTAATAATGAGATAGGAAGTGTCAGTGCCCTCCAGCCAAAGACCATCAAGAACACACCTGTAGTTAGACAATTTGGGTTCACTGCTTTTTGAAGTGAGAGAGGATTCGTAGCATGGGAAACCATGTGGCATCTCAGGAAAAGAGCATTAGAAAAGACTTGTAGGATCTGGGTTTGTGTTAGTGGTTTTTAAGAGGGTTAAAGAAGCAGAACTTTCCTTTGTGACAGACGCTGTCAGGAAGCAAGAGTAATTCTATGATTGGGTGTATTAATAAATCTTATCTAGAAGGAGGAACAATTAGAGTGAGGCTAAAGCTGCAATTGGTGAAGAAGCAGCATGCACTCGCATTAGCTAGGACAGAAAGATGTCTGGTCATTTTTGTGGCTTGGACAATGTTCATGCTTTTGTCTGTGTTAGACATGATCAGACTCCTGTTGCTTTTGTCTTGATCCACCATAGTTAAAGAATGGCCCTGTCTCATGTTGATATCCGGTGAAATGGCTTACGTCCAACGGGAAAACACTAAGGCCTTGCTGTGAGTGTTAGGACAAATTCTGGCAACACCGAGGTCCAGTTGGGGCTTTCAGATATTAGGGACTACTTTTCTCTTTCTCAGAACAGAAGAGGCTAAGAGAGACAAGGGTGGACAGGATTTGTTTTCCAGGGACTTAGAGAGTTGCTGTAGTGTGTGCAGGAGGTGAGGGGTAGGTGGGTGGAGTGGGTTAATAAGAATTGCTCTGGACTCTGTGTCCCCATGGTTTTCAAGACATGTAAGTAAAAAAATAAGCAATTTTTTATTTTTTTGAGACAGAGTCTTACTCTGTTTCCCAGGCTGGAATGAAGTGGTGTGATCTCGGCTCACTGTGGCCTGTGCCTCCTGGGTTCAAGTGATTTTTGTGCCTCAGCCTCCCAAGTAGCTGAGACTACAGGTGCATGCAACCATGCTCAGCTAATTTTTTTTTTTTTTTTTTTTTTTTTTTTTTTTTGTCTTTTTGTAAAGATGGCGCTTCACCATGTTACCAAGGCTGATCTTGAACTCCTGAGCTCAAGCGATCTGCCTACCTTGGCCTCCCAAAGTGCTGGGATTATAGGCACAAGCCACGGCACCAACCAACATGAACACTTTTTAAAAATTTGTTTGTTTGTTTGCCGGGCTGTCTTTCTTCTATTGTGATGCTGCTGTGAGACAATGTGGATCAGGGTCTTAAAAATCTTAAAAGTCTTTCAGGCTGGTGTGGTGGCTCAGATCTATAATCCCAGAACTTTGGGAGGCCAAGGCGGGTGGATCACCTGTGGTTGATAGTTTGAGACCAGCCCAGCTAACATGGCAAACTCCATCTTTACTAAAAATACAAAAAGTAGCTGGGCATAGTGCCGGGCGCCTGTAATCCCAGCTACTTGGGAGGCTGAGGCAGGGAGAATTGCTTGAACCTGGGAGGCGGAGGTTTCAGGGAGCCAAGATCAGCCCACAGCACTCCAGCCTGGGCGACAGAGGGAGACTCCGTCTCAAACAAAACAAAAGAAAACAACAAAAGTCTTTCAAAGCCAAAAGGTTGTGAGGCACTGTGTTAAAGCCTAGAGCTCCAGCTGAAGCTGGTGCCTAAGTCCAGATGGTGTTGAAGAAGGAGCAGGGCCCAGAGGGCACCACTCTCAGAAGCCAGGCTCAGATGTTTCTTACCTCCACCCCCAAGATGATCCAAGAAGACAGAGTTCCTCAAACTCCCAGTGTCCCTAGGAAGTGGCAACCTTGACTCCTGGCCAGAGTTCAGAGTCCTGGTTGTTAACACCAATGAACCTTTATTTGCCAGGGATACTACCATGAGAAGATACGGTCCCTGAGCCCAGTCCTGATCCTGTGGGAGGGGGAGGGCAGCAGAGGACAAAGGCAGAGACCTGAGAGCTGGAGAGACTCAGCAAAGGGCCCCCAGGCCCTCTCAGGAATGGAGCATTTCTTGGTAGAGTGGTATTCACGGAACAGTCTGGAAAGCTGGGGCAGGGAAGCCTGAGCACACAGCAAGAAGCTCAGTGGCAGGTGCAGGCAGAGAGCATTCTTTGGAGAATGGCGGTCCTGAGAGGTGAGGGCCTCGAGCGCCAGCGTCCGGCCTTAGTGGGTATACATATGTTCAGCTCCCTGAGGACCTCCTCAGGACAGCCAGGGAGCACGTAAGTCCAGGGGCTTCCCCGTGCTCCGCCCTCCCTCCCCCGGCCACCCTGGTAGCAGGTGGAGGGCCCAGGCCATGCTGAGTAGTGGGAGAAATGGAAAGAAATGGGACAGGAACAGGAGACAAGAGCCCATGGTGGGAGTCAAAGAGCTGGAAGAGTTTTGGAAATGGGAGTCTGGGGGAAAGAGTCGATCAAGGGGCGAGTTACTCAGCGGGACGGGTGGGACGCACGAGGCCCTGGCAGCTGTGTTTTATTGGCCGGGCTTGGAGAGGAAAGTGGGTAGCCGTCTGGCGCCTGAGGGCCCGCTCTGGACCTCCCCACCGAGGGAAGTGTCGGGCCCCCAGGGACACGGCCCCAGAGCATTACGGGCGCTGAGCACGGGCTGGAGGCCGATAGGCGGTCGCGTTAGTCGCCTTCCCACCCCTTCGCTCAGGTTTTTCCGGCCTAGGGCAAGAGGTCTGTGCCTGGCGCGAGAACGCACTGTCCACCCCTCCGGCCTGGGACTGGGCCGGCGCGCGGACGCTACTAAGAGGCGGTGGCTCCCGCCCCCGCGGCCGGACGTGGCGCCTCCCCTGCGGCCGTGGCCGGAGCCTGGAGGTGGGGTCGGAGCCGGAGCCCGGGGCTCTGATGTCACCGCGCGGCCGCGAGTGCCCAGGAGCGCGTCTCGGCTGGAGCCTCAGGTAGGCGGCGGGGGCGGGGGCCGGAAAGGCCGGCGGGGCTGCGGGCGGACAGGGGTGAGGGGTGGGCGGCGAGGCGGTGGCCGCGGGGCAACCCGGGCGTCGTTCGGCCGGGACGTGTCCGGCTCGGCGCCGCGTCGGGTTGTGCGAGTGGCGTCGGGCCCCTGCGCGCCTCTCCCCGCTGCAGCGCTGTGAGGCGGAGACGCGACCCCTTCTCGGCAGGCGGCGCGGCTCGGGGGAGCGGTGCTGTCTAACCCCGCCACCCTCCGCTTCTGCCACTCGTCGCCAAGCCTCTGGAGAAGCCGGGTCCTTCCCTCCCGGGCTCGCGCTGTCTCCTGCGCGCGATCCTTTCCCGACGGTGAACCCAACCGGAAAGGCCGAGAACTGCGCGGGACCGCGACCGTTCCCTCTCGCGCTGCTCCACGTGTCTCTGCCGCCCCCTGCGGCCGCCAGGGCCTGCGCTTCTCTCCCTCCGGCGCGTAGGTCCCAGAGCTTGAAGCCCAGGTAACCGGGTCTGTCCACGCCCCAGGCCGTCTCTCTCCGGGTGTTGCCAGCTTCCTGCATTTCCTGTGCATGGCACGGATCTCGGGTCTTCGGAGATTCTGCATGTGGGGTGCAGCGACCGACGAGCCCTTAAACCAGCCGCTCACTGGGAGCGCGGATGCTTAGTGGGGTGCACTGTTGGTCCTGACAGACCGGGAGAATGGTGGAACGCTGGGGACTGGGAGAGCCGGTGAACTTCCCAGAACGTCCGCCTAGCCAGACTTAGCGGTGGGTACTGGGGTTCGAGATGTGGTCCAGGACCCAGAAACTTAGTCTGGCAGGGAGACAGCACCCTCTCAGTGAGCCCAGTACTGAGGGAGGACCCGCCGGGAGGGGTGGCCTGGACAGCCCCTCCACGGAGGTCAGATGTCAGGCGGCCTTGAGGGAGGTATGATCTAAAGCCGGATCATTTGCTGTGTTTGAGGCTGTCTGTTCTGTGCCTCCTCGGTCACCTTACCTGGATCTGTTCCTATTGCCTTGGTGTGATTTTATCCACCAGAAACTGTCTTCAGCTATTTCCCCAGTAACTTCTAACTAAAAACCTGGGTCTTGCCTGGTTCACCCTCTCCTGCTCAACTCCAGAGCCACATCCCAAGTGCTGCCAGACTTGTCATAGACACCGTGAAGCCCAGACTGAAGGAGCACTAGACCCCAGGACCATTACCAAGCCCCAGCTGCCTCCTTTCAGACTGGGGCCTCCACTTGCCAGACCGCTAGTTTTGAAGGCCACACTCATCTTTGTCTCCTTTTCCTCTCTGGCTCCTTCATTCATGTGACAAGTATACATCAAATGCCCACCCCAACTTCCCCTCCCAGGACTCCAATCTGGTGGCTTTCTAGCGGGGAGTCCAGGCTGCTCCCCCTTCTCTGGTGAGGCTTGGCAAAATGCCTGCAGAGCTCCCTGAGCTCCACCTTCTGGACACCCTCCCTTTCAGCAGCAAGCACAGGCTTGGCAGCCCAACCCACAGGTGCCACTGTCACTGAGGTGAGGACCCCTAATATAGGGCTATTCCCAGCCATAGGGGCTGGCTGGACTGCAAGAGGCTCCCTGCAGCCAGACAAATGTGAAAATACCTTGTTGTTTTGTGCTGAGGCCCCCCAACAAAACACATCAAAGCAGCTGGGTCCTCTGGGCATGGTAGGTTCTGCAAAGGACACAATGTGAGCAGCCTGCATGGACGTCAACCTGATAGGGCCACCAATGCAAAAGCATCTTCAACAAATTACAGTAAATAAGGAAATAGATGTGTGTAAACATTTTGATTACCCATTCAAGCTGTTTTTATTTGGTGAATTCAGAATCCTTTGTTAGCACAGTAACACGTCAGAAAGATAGATTTTTAAGAGCTCTTTTGAGGAAACATGTTTGTATTTGGTGACTCCCATCTGTAGCTGCAGCAAGCCACAATGGTCAGGATGGGTGGCATGAGCTAGTGCTACCAAGCTGGACTCAGAAAGAGCAGGAAGAGAAAGGGCTAGTGTCTGAGCAGTCAGGGTGGGCTTCCTAGAAGAGGTGCCTGTCCTCCCAGGAACTGGTACTCAGAGTAGTTTCTTGTCCTCCTAAAGTTTAGAGTGGAAATACTTTGCAAAAGAGGTCCCCAACCCTAAGTGTGAGGGCCAACCTCCTGTGCTTAGTAGGCATACAAATGTCCCCAGATGGGTGACATCAAGATGTTCTGGTCCTAGGTCTGCTGAGAGCCTCTCTTGGGAATGTTGTAGGTACTGCCTCTCCCTTTTAGGAAACACCATATCCTCCTACCACTAACCCGTGTACTTGCCCTAACCAGCAATCTGTAACATCCTCGGCCTCAGGGACGTGAGTAGAGGGTGACTCTGAGCTCCCAATAGTGTCTAATTGGCTCAAATAAGCCTACTTTTTGATCCTCACCCTAGCTGCACTCCCCACCAAGCAGCTTAGAGAATGCAAATCAGCCCCATAAAGTCTCCATAGTTGATAGGGAACCCAAAACCTCAACATTACCCTTTCCCAAGCCTCAAAATTGCTCTCACCCTGACCCAGGCACACCCAGTCAATTCTTACCTTTGATCCTCCTCCCAGGATTGGAAAGGATCAATTTCTGGTCAGTCCTGCCCGAGGCTGTGCTTACCTGCTCTGTTTGTACCTAATATTGCATGAGTAACCTTGCCAGTATCTATGGTGGCAAGTGCTTCATCCATTCTCTCCTCTTCCCCAGAAAAGACTAATAGGGAGGGAAGAAAGATGTGCAGAAGCTAAGGTGCTCTCTTCCTTCTCTGCCAAGGTCACCCCTACATCTACTCCCTGCAAGTCTGCTCTTTCCCTTGACATTCAGCAAATATTGGTTTAACACTGACCATGTGCCAGGCACTGTGCTGGGCACTGAGAGTGCAGTGATGAAGAACAGGGCCTGACTTCAGGAAGTTCAGGGGTGTGAATGGGAGGAGGGACTCAGAAGCAAGCCAACAGGGACAGTGTGAGTGATGGGGGCCGCTCAGCACACTGAAGGGATCCCAAAAGGTGAGAGACCTCCCATCCAAGTACTAACCAGGCCCGACCCTGCTTAGCTTCCGAGATCAGAAGAGATCGGGTGCGTTCAGGGTGGTATGGCCGTAGACAAGGTGAGAGACCTCTAACCTGAGTCCTACGTGAGAAGCAAGAGCAGACGCAGGGCAAAGATGGGGGTCGGCCCACCATTCCTAGACAAAAGGGAGAGTCTGAGAAGTGGAGACCAGATTGTTTTGGAATCTGCCCATTGTGCGTGGGGAGGTAGGAGTGACTTTCTCGAAGTGGACTGTAGGCTTTGTGAGGATTCAGGCTGTTGGGGGGCAGGAGGGATGGTAAGCTGCCTTTCAGCAGGGCTTGCTTCTAGGAAATTGATTCTGGCTGTAGGGAGTGTGGAGGCAGTCCTGGATTCCAGGCAGGCTTCTGCCACTTCCCAGCTGTGTGGCCGTGGACAAATCATTTCCCCCTCAGATCCTCATCTGTGAAATGCAGACAGCAGTTGTGACGATCAAAAAAAATATTTACGTAAAGCACCTGGAACTGAACAGGCACAGAGGGAGGGAGGAACGCTGTGAAGCTGCCTCTGCCCCTTGCCCTGGGTCTTCCCCCACCCCTCCTTTCTTGGCTCCCCTGTGGTCTCAGAGTGTTTCTTGACCATTGTTTATCAGGGAAGGATCACATGGAGAAGCCAACAGAGCAGCCAGGAAGCAGCCTGGGTGGAACAGGGCTGGGGAGGAAAGGAGCATGGGTACATTCTCAAGCGTTCCAGAAGGTCTCAGGGTAGAGGCTGCTTGTGTGGGCAAGGGGAGCCCGGCAGGGAATGAGCTGGTCTCAATTCCTTCCCCTGAGCTGGGCCCTCAACCTTCAGAGGTGCTCCCTGGGACTGGTCCTACTTCCTATGCCACCTCTGATCCCAAGGTGACGCTGCCAAAATCAGGGGAATGCCAGCGATTGTGACGGTGTCACCAGGGAGGGGAAGTTTAGTACGCGTCTGGCTGCGCCCCAGCCCTCACACGGAGCTTCTCACCCAGCACTACGTCTGTGTTTTCCCAGGATCCAGGGAGCCAGACAGCCTCAGTATTCATCTGCGCAGCCATGGAGGCCCTGGAACCTGGAGATGACCGCGCCTCCCCGGCCTCGTCCACTAGCGGCCTGGACCTGCGGCATCTATCCCTGCACGCGGACTCGGCCTACAGCTCTTTCTCCGCAGCCTCTGGCTGCCCTGAGCCGCTCACGCCGTCGCCAGGGACGGACCTCTTTCCTTACCTAGACTGGGACTATGTACGCGTGGTTTGGGGCGGCCCGGCCCCCGCCCCCGCCCCGCCCGACGCTGCACTTTGCACATCCCCGCGGTCACCTTCGCACATCCCCACGGTCGCCGCCCCCAGTGGGCCGCAGACACCAGAGGTCCTGGGAACCCCAGGGTCACTGAGCAGGCAGGCCACCCCGCTGTTGTACGCTCTGGCGGCGGAGGCGGAGGCCACGGCTCAGGCTGCCGAGCCGCCCAGCCCGCCGGCCTCGAGGGCCGCCTACCGCCAGCGGCTGCAGGGTGCCCAGCGGCGAGTGCTCCGGGAGACGTCATTCCAGCGCAAGGAGCTCCGCATGAGCCTGCCCGCCCGCCTGCGGCCCACTGTCCCCGCACGGCCCCCGGTGACGCACCCGCGCTCCGCCTCGCTCAGCCACCCGGGTGGGGAGGGAGAGCCCGCGCGCTCCCGGGCTCCCGCTCCAGGAACCGCCGGCCGGGGTCGCCTAGCCAACAAGCAGCGGAAGTGGTGCTTCTCAGAGCCAGGAGAGCTGGATCGCGTGGGTCAGGGCGGTGGGCCGGCCGGGGAATGCCTGGGTGAGGCCTGCTCCAGCTCTGGCCTGGCTGGGCCCGAGCCTTTGGAGTTCCAGCATCCGGCACTGGCTAAGTTTGAAGATGGCCAGGTCAGATGGCTGTCTGAGAGGCAGCCCCAAGGTGCAACGGACCTAGACTCCAGGTCCTTGAAGCTTGGTGATGTCTATAGGCCTGCCAGTCGGAGTCGGAGCGCCTCAGGCCAAGTCTTGGGTTCCTGCGGGGGATCAGGAGGGACCATTCCGATTGCCCAGGTATGGAAGACAGAGATGCAGGCGGGGGAGCATCTGGGAAACAAAACTTGAGCCACATTTCAGTAGACTGTTCACCTTTCCAGGCTGTTCCCCAAGGAGCAGAAACCCCCAGACCATTGTTTCAGACCAAACTTTCCAGGTGAGAGACACAGACCACTCTGTGGACCAAGTTGGGGGAAGGTAGCTTGTATAGCTTTTGCTCAACAAAGGAAAGGGCTTCCTACCTACCGCCAGTCTGAGCCTTCTGATTCTTTTGCACCCTACTGTCTCCCTGGTGCAACACCAAGAGCTTCCTTCCTGTCACTGTGGTCACTGTGTGGTCCCTGCCTCTAGGTTCTTGCCTCAGAAGGAGGCTGCGGTGGTGCATCATGCAGAGGTACCCCAGAGCAGCCCTGCTGACTGTGAGCAGAGGATCTCAGAGACCTGCACTGTGCCTGCCCAGCTCCCTTCCCTTCCTGATGAAGTGTTCCTGGAAGAGGCCCCGTTGGTCACAATGAGATCACCACCAGACCCCTGTGCCTCCCAGGGACCCCCAGCCAGGTAATTCCCTCTTGCTTCCAGGCATCGTGAGGCACCCCCCAACACACACATCTACAAAATGCTAGAGGGCTAAGAACCCTCTCTAGCTGAAGCCTGGTGATGGGGGTAGGGACAGATGGCCCTTGGAGGCCACCATTTGTCTGTGGCTGGAGCTTTTCTTGATTCGGTGTCTTTTCTGCTTCCAGTGTTCAAGCCTCTGGCCAGCAGTATGGAACTGTCTCTGGCCAAAGAACTGGCCAGGCTACAGTCCCCCCAGAGTACCTGCTCTATGAGTGTCCAGGAACTGCAGGGGCAGATGACTGCTGGCAGGGGGTGAATGGTTCTGTAGGTATTTCCAGACCCACAAGCCATTCCCCCACTGGGACTGTAACTGACGACATCCCAACTATTGACCCCATTGGACTGACCACCAATCCCCCCACAGCTGCTGAGAGTGACCTCCTCAAACCTCTTCCAGTCGATGCTTTGGGACTTTCAGGCAATGATACCCCAGGTCCCCTTCACAACACTGTCCTGGGCAGGGGCACTGGCCAGCCTGGTTCCAGGCCCACATGGCCTAGCCAGTGCCTCGAGGAGCTGGTTCAGGAGCTGGCCAGATTGGATCCCTCTCTAAGTGACACTCTTACTTCCCAGCCCATCCCAGAGCCACCCCTGGGCCTGCTGGATGGGCTGATTCCTTTAGCAGAGGTCCGGGCTGCAATGCGGCCTGCCTATGGGGAGGCTGGAGAGGAGGCTGCTGGTACTTTTGAGTCAGGGTGAGTGAGGGGTACCAGGGATTCTGAACTCTGAGCCCCTGAAGTCGGGGGCAGGAAACTTAGAGAGCTTTGGCTTTGTTCCCAGGTCTTATCAGCTCAGCTTCACCCAGCCCTTGCCAGCTCCTCAGGAGGAGGCAAGGTTTGAAAACCCTGCCACCGAGCCTGTGCCTGACCAGTCATGTGGCCAGGAGCTCCCTGTACCAAACGACAGCATCCAGGGCAAGAAAGTGAGTGGAGAGGGGCTGGTGGAGGCTGGGAGTAGGTAGGAGCCCAGAGCCTGGGCAGAGAAGTCAGGAGCCTGGCCCCAGCCTTGAGCCTTCCCTGCAGGTGGAGCTGGCCGCCCTCCTCCAAAAGATTCTTCAGGACCTTCATACGGAGCAGGAGCGGCTGCAAGGGGAGGCCCAAGCATGGGCCAGGCGCCAAGTGGCTCTGGAGGCAGCAGTGCGCCAGGCTTGTGCCCCCCGGGAGCTGGAGCGGTTTAGCCGGTTCATGGCCGACTTAGAGCGCGTGCTTGGCCTCCTGCTGCTGTTGGGCAGTCGCCTGGCGCGCGTGCGCCGCGCCCTGGCCCGGGTGGCTTCAGACAGCGACGCTGACGAGCAGGTAAAAGAGGTTCAGGTTGCAAGCGCGTAGGGCGGTGAGGGGCCTGCTGTCTCTGGCTGGAACCATTCCGCGAGCTGTGGTGCCCTTGCTCGGCTCACGGCACCTCTTCCTGCGGCTCCAGGCCTCTCTGCTGCAGCGACTCCGGCTTCTGCAGAGGCAGGAGGAGGACGCTAAGGAGCTGAAGGAGCACGTGGCGCGGCGCGAGCGGGCGGTGCGGGAGGTGCTGGCGCGAGCACTGCCGATGGAGGAGCAGCGCGCCTATTGTGCCCTGCTGGCCGGCAAGGCCGCGGTCCTGGCCCAGCAGCGCAGCCTGGACGAGCGCATCCGCCACCTTCAGGACCAACTGGACGCCATCAGGAACGACCTTGGCCATCATTCCCCATCTCCCAGGCCGGCCCGGCCCCCAGGGACCTGTCCTCCGGATCAGCCGGCCTTCCCTCTTCTCCTTACCTAGTTATAGATGGAGAGGGTGGGGAGCATCACCCCTACCTCTGTCCCACGTAAGTGGGGTGATGCTGATTTATTCTGTGCTTTTGCCTTCAGGGATTGGGGAGGACCCAGGCCAGGCCTCTCTAAGATATTCCTCCAAAGTGTTCTCATGTGGCCTTACCCAGGCCTTGTGGGTTATTTGGTAATTAATTTATGGATCTTAAGACTGCAGTATTCCCCCATTTTGTGATGACAGTGCGGGGCTGTCAGGGGTTGGTTGGAGGGAGGAGACAAGGGAGAGGCGCACTTAAGGTGCAGAGCAGCCTCTTTTCAATAAAAATGGTTAAGAAAAGTGTGTGTGTCAGCTGCAGCACAGCTGTGGAAGGAGTGAGGGGTCTTGTTTACACACAGTCACCAGCCCTGCCTGACTCGAGCAGAAGAAGGATTTGCAGAATATCAGTCAACTGCGGCAATGTTTAGTTAGCCTGGAGAACCTGGCTTGAAAACAGGAGGGAACAGGGAAATACTGGGCTTTCGGCTCTGCTGTCACCAGTATTTTCTAACTGTTCCAGTGACTGTGTCACAGCCACAAAAACCTAGGTCTGATTGGCTGAGTCCTGGATTCCTTAGCTGGTTTCTAGCCAACATCCCAGCTTCAGTAGTGAAAATGGGAGTCCTGTCTCCTTTCAATACTCAAATGGGTTCAGATGCTTTGCTGCCTAAATTCCCTGACAAATATTCAGTGCACTTGGACATTTGGGGACATTAATTCCAAAATGAATGTATGCCCCCAAATGTCCAAGAAAGAACTTTCTTCTTCCAGTTATGTTATCAAGACTGCTTATCTTCCTCTCCTTCAGAGACTCCCCTCCCCCACCGCTGCCCCTGAGGCGGGCAGTCGAGGGTGGGAGCTGAAGGTGAGGGGTAGGAGACCTCAAGACCTTCCATGCTGGGACTAAGGACCTGGAGATACAACTGTGGTTGTAATCTGGTGGTGGGCTGCAGTGGGAAGTGGGAAGTTAGGGGCTGGAGTGGTATGACACGCAGGACTCCTCAATGTGTGCATCAACCCCGAGTATATAGAATCAAAGTTAGGTTCGCAGATATACATGTTGAAATCTGCATCAGCCTTTGTAGCTGCAAATGCTGGGGACAGCAACATTGTTCCACAAATATTCGGTGTATTTTTGGAAATTGGGCACATTAAAAGGCATGTTTATGTGTATTTAAAGCCAACTGACCCCTGAGTGAGAAATCTCTGCTTCTGGGCTTGTTTTCTGATGTGTATTGTCACCGAGTGCAACTGGTTGGGAATTTTAAATGGTCGTATTCATACCAAAAGCATTTGTTATAACAGTTGTGCTATTGAGCACAGAACAATGCTCACATTATGCCTTTTTATAAAAAACGTATGGGGCTCCTGCTGAGGCCTTTGTGGGTTCTAACATTATGCTTTGCTTTGCCCCTTTGAACACAGTGGGCAGGGCCTCCACGCCAAGGTCTTCAGCCTAGCAAACACACTCAGAGACACATTCTGGATGGAAGCTGCTAATTTCTGCCTTTTCCTCTGTACAGACCCTGTTGCATTATTCCACTGTGGTGTTCTTAAAAACACAGCTACGGTGTGGGGGTGGGGGCTCAGCCTATAACCCCAGCACTTTGGGAGGCCAAGGTGGGCGGATCACGAGGTCAGGAGATAGAGACCGTCCTGGCCAACATGGTGAAACTCTGTCTCTATGAGAATACAAAAGTTAGCTCTGCGTGGTGGCGTGTCCCTGTAATCCCAGTTTACTGGGGAGGCTGAGGCAGGAGAATCGCTTGAACCAGAGAGTGGGAGGTTGTAGTGAGCTGAGATCGCGCCACTGCACTCCAGCACTCCAGCCTCGACAGAGTGGGTGGGTGACGACAGAGTGAGACCCGTCTCAAAAAAAAAAAAAAAAAAAAGAAAAAGGAAAAACATAGCTAACATCTCCATTAAGATAATGGGAATCGTGCATTTCAAACAAAGCACCCCTGGTCCGGCTGGGCATGGGGAGCACAGGGGAGCAGGGGTGTCTGCCATCTTCATATTAAACTGGACTGGTTGTGTGCTGGGTTTTTCCACGGGGAAATAAATATGAGGCTTTTGTGCTCGTCCTTGCCAGACCGGAAGAACCCCCCAAATAAGGCCACACCTCCTGATATGGATCTTGCCTTGGTCTTCTTGCCCCAGGTTTTCTCCCTTCCAAATCAATTATTTCTCCAGAGGGCAAGAATGAGCTCACCATTATTTGTTCCATATCAGCACCACAGATTCAAGACTTGGCGGGGACCAGAAGCCCGGTGAATGGACCCTTCAGGACACTGCCAGCAGAGGGCGCTGTCCTCCTTTTGGTGAAAGCTGGTACCCACACTTCGCCCGCCACACGCAGCTTCTCCAGCTACCAGGCCCTCTAGGCCAGCCACAGGGACGTTCACTTGCCCTGCTGAGCTGTTCTATTAGGCCCGAAAGCTGGAGCTGAGCCTTTTGCTTCTTTCAGAAAGAAACCCTTGACCAGCCAGGCAGCGAAAGGCTGACTGTCTTTTCTTTGCCACTGGGCCTTTACTGGAAAGTTGCTGGCCAATGAAAAGTGGGAGAGAGGGCAGCCAGGGGGAGGGGCGTGGGGGGATTTAAATGCACATTGATTAAATCATATCCTCCTAATATGGATTTAATCAGTGCATTTTTTGATCTCGAACATCAATATCAAAAAAGAGCCTTGCGTAGTCTCCCGGGGTGGGAAAGAGGGTTGCATGGGTCCCTATCGGGGTTTCTGCCCCCCACCTCCTTTAGCCGCCGGTGCCCCCGCCCCATCCTCCTTCCTGGCTGCCTGCCGCGGTGCTCTTGGGCTTTTGGGAAGCGCAGGCTGCGGCTGGCATCGTTGCTAGGCAACAGGCAGCCCCGCGGCCGCCTTCTCCGCTGTCTTATTCCGCCCCCGCTGCTCCTCCTAATATGGATTTAATCAGTGTACTTTTTACCTTCAGGCAGTAAATTGGAAACGGAACAGGGAAGCCGTGTTCTGCGGTGCCCCAAACCGGCGCGCAGTCTGTCTTGTACATCCTGCTCGGCACAGAACGTACCCCTGCGAGCGGCTGGTGCAAACCTCAGGGCTCCTCATTGGAACAAATTGCCATTCTGTGCATTCACATGTAAACCAGAAACTTAGGAAATTTAGGTCAAACGTGGTTGAGGGCTATGGAGAGAAAGAGGTGAAACGGTCATTTGGGGGTGCAGGAGGCGGGAGGCAGCAATTGCTGAGGACCCCATAGTGTTACTCTCAGCCTAGTTACAGCGTAAAAGGTCGCAATGGACTTTTACCTGTGGTCTTTGATGTTTAAATCAGCACTCACTTCCCATGAGGATAATTTTTTTTTTTTTTTTTTTTTCCCCATTGAGGAGAGATCTGGATCTCGCTGTCTTTGCTTTCTTTTTCTCTTCCCTTGCAGGCACACCTGAGGCACCCCGGCCACAGGCTGAAGTCCAGAGGTGTGGCAGTTCCAAACAGGTGAGGCTTGTTCAAGGCAAAAGGCTATCTGGAGACCAAAAGAGAAATCTAAGTATAGGACACGGGCCTATAAATACAGGGTGGCTAACGCCTGTAATCCCAGCATTTTGGGAGGCCAAGGAGGGCGAATTGCCTGAGCTCAAGAGTTTCAGATCAGTCTGGCCAACATGGTGAAACCCCCTCCTCTAACAAAAGATTAGCTGGGCGTGGTGGTGCATACCTGTAATCCCAGCTGCTGGCGAAGCTGAGGCACGAGAATCACTTGAACCAGGGAGGTGGAGGTTGCAGTGAGCCAAGATCGCCCCATCACTGCTCTCCAGCCCAGGTGGCTGAATGGCAGTGGTCTAGGTCTGGAAGGTGGGGGTAGGGATGCTAGAGGAATGGGAGTTTAGAAAGACATTGTTATTTGTTTTAACTAAAGTGACGTCATGTACAGAATATGGGATAATTTCACTCTTGTGGGAATACATTTTTCCTAGTAAATGGTTACTTATGAATACAAATGCTAACATATTACAAGAATGGTGATCATGGCAGGGCATGGTGGCTCACACCTGTAAGCACTTTGGGAGGCTGAAGGGGGTGGGTCACCTGAGGTCAGGAGTTTGAGACAAACCTGGCCAACATGGCGAAACCCCATCTCTACTAAAAGTACAAAAAATTATCCGGGCATGGTGGTGTGTGCCTGTAATCTTAGCTATTCAGGAGGCTGAGCCAGCAGAATCGCTTGAACCTGGAGGCAGAGGTTGCAGTGAACTGAGACTGCGCCACTGTACTCCAGCCTGGGTGACAGAGTGAGACTCCATTTAAAAAAATTAAAAAACAAACAAAAGCAGAATGGTGATCATGTAAAGCAAATCCATAAATCAGAGCTATTTGGTTTTGAGATGCAGCCATATACTCCCTGGAACCAACTCGGCACCCCACATTGGTGTTGCAGTTCATAAAGAGCCCTATTCACTCATTCCATGTGCTCTTCCTTCCCCACGGCCCATGAAATAGGTATAGGAAGTCTTTTGTCCCATGGAGAGGGAAGATGGAGCATGGGGAGTTGAGTGACTCGCCCAGGGTCACTAAATTAGTAAAGGGCTGAGTTGAGCCCACCCTGCTTTCTGCAGTAGGATAGGAGACAGTGTTATGAAAAAGAGCACCAGGAGGCTACCCCAGCTCGGCCATTTACTAGCTGTGAGGCCTGGACAAGTTACTTATGACTTCTCTAGGCTTCAGTTTCCTCACTTTAAAATCAAGATACACATAGTGCATACCTTATAAACTTGCAGTTAATACCTGCAAAGGGTTTAGAACTGTGCCTGGCACTTAATCAGCACAGGTTATACAGTATATGCATTACCCTGGATCTCCTTTAGGTAAGTGAGACATGCTTAAGAATAACTTCCAACCTCCGTTTAAGGACATGTAAAACTTTACTTAAAAGCTTGCTATGCATGACTCATACCCGTCTACATCAACAATTAACTTCTCCCTTGCTAAAAGGAGTGATTTCATCCCTGTGACCATTCTCGTCAGCTAAATTGCCTTCACAATTATTTTCTGTTAGTGTTGAAAATACCCTTCTAAAGGTGTGCCTCCTGCTAGGTGATACATGATTCTTAAAAACTTTCCATATGCATATGGAACTATAATTTCCTATCGGCTTACCTTATAGTTGTAGAAAGCTTTGGCCTGCAAGGAAAAACAGTGTTTTCCAACACCTGAGCTTTAGTTTTTGATCCTAAACTCTTGCTAAATGTTTTACTTCACTTGGAAGGCTTACAGTATACTCTTCTGAAACATAAAGCTTCTCCTTTCATTTCAAATGACTCTC